CAGAGGAAAGGAGCAAGACGGGAGCAGTGGACAGTGGTGGGCACACAAGCAATGCCACACAGAGTAACCTGCTCTTCCTGTGGCAATGGTCCAACCTGGAAAGGGCTGCCCAGAGCGTGTAGCCCAGTCTCCAGTTTTGGATGCATCCAACACAGGATCCAATGGTCCCAGAGCAGAGTCCTGTGCCTGACCCATTTTGAGTGGGTGGTGTGCACCTCAGCTGCTGAGTGATCCATCAGAGAACAGCGCACAAGTGAAGCAGCAGCAGAGGAGAGCTGTGAGAGTGTAAGCATGCTGAGGGATCCAAAAGGCTCAGGTCCCACTGAGATTTGAACTCAGATCACTGGATTCAGAGTCCAGAGTGCTCACCATTACACCATGGGACCTCCTGCACAGCTCACCTCTGGCCCCTCTGCTCAGCCTGCCTCAGCCTTATGGCCCCAGACCAGGCTGCCTGTCTCTCCACTGCCTTGCACATCTGTCACAAGTGCACCCTTCCTGCACTTGTGGGCCTCCAGGCACTCGCTAATCACACCATCCTTCAGGGCAGCAGCACAGCTCCTCCTGCAAGCCTGCCACGGCCTCTCTTACAAGGGACAGGCTTCCAATCAGCAAAAATCTTGTCTTTCCCAAATTGAAACAAGCCCTTTCTGACTCTCAGGCTAAGTTTCCTCGGGAATTTGCTTTACACAGCAGAATCCCCCTTGCCTTCTCTTCTCCAGCCCAAGCCAGTCCAGCTCCTTAAGGACTATTGACAGGGAAACATTGCTCCGTCTCTACAAAAGGTGAACAAAGACCCTCGGGTGAACCCAGGCAAGGGGCTGGAGTGGCAAGGAGAAAGGACAGGTGACACACCCAGGGCAGAGCAATGACTGAGTTCCAGTTCCTGTGAGGAACAGGCTCAATCACTGCCTACGGTGCAGAGCAAGGAGGGCAGAACCCTCTCTGGGAACTCTTCCCTCTCACAAGGAACTTGACTGCAAGGCATGCCAGGAGGACACAAGTCCAAATGCCTGCTCAAAGCAGGGCTGGAGACAAAGCAAGGAGAAGGCAACTCAGTGCCTGAGCCCCATTGCAACCCCAGCCTGATGCCCAGGTGTGGAGAATCACAGAGTTCTTTCCTCACCTGGCTGCAGTGGCTCACCAATCTCTGGGAGTCTCTGTAGGATCCAGGGCAGCCCCTGCAGTCGCCTTTTGCCAAGACCGACCTGGCTCAAAGCAAGTGTGTGCCTGCTGGGCCAGGAGGTGCCCGGAGTACGGGGCAGGATCCCGGCTGAGGGGAGCAGGAGCAGCAGCTCAACTCCTCTGTAGAGGAAGAACTTGTGGAGAGAAGAGGCCAGGAGTCCTGGCCTCTTCGAGACCAGGAGAGCCCAAGCAATGTGGAGCCAGTCCTGCCTTGGCCCAGAATGGCTGAGCCCTGCGCAACTGCTTGGAAGGCAGCTCTGCCAAGCAATGCCCCACAAGGCTGCTGCAGCAGGTATAACTTGTAGAGGGAAGAGGAAGGCTATGGCCAGTGTTGCCCAAAAAGCCAGAGCCAAGGAGACTAAAAGGTGTTGGATGAGGCTGCGTTGGAGAAAAAGTGCCTTAGCAGAGGATGGTTTCGATCCATCGACCTCTGGGTTATGGGCCCAGCACGCTCCCGCTGCGCCACTCTGCTCCTCCTCATGCCTACCTGCCATTGCCCTCGCCGCAGCCTGATGCTGCTGGACACTGCTGCCCCTCACTCCTTCCCTTCCTCTCTGCTCCGCCTCCCCCACCCCACAAAATACACCCCCGGACAAATTCAGCTCCCTTCAGCCTGCACTCCACACCTCCTGGGCCTGGCCTTGCTCTTCTCCCACACCTCACGCACACAGCCCTGCACAGCCCCTTGCCCTTTCACACCCACCCTGCCGCTGCACCTGCTCAGCGCACACCCGCAGGCAGGCTGCAGCCTTGGGCCTTGCCATGGGCGAGGACCCCTGAAATCCAGCAACATCCTCACGCCTGCAGCCCTGCCCAGAAATCCACCTGTGCTCCCAGCACGCTGCACCACTGCACCTGCCCAACACTTCAGATCTTTGCTGGCCAAGGAGGGACACGGGTCGCCTTTGCTTGCAACTGCCGACAGAAAGAATTCGCCTGATTTCGCTGTGCAAATTCTGGTGCCTCAGCTCAATGCTGCTCATGGTTACTGTGCAGTAAAAGCTCTGAGTTCTGGGCACTTGGTGCCAAAGCAGGTTGTCAAGTCAATGGCCCTTGCCTTTAACACTTGGTGCTACTGCAGGAGGATGAAATGCTCCCATGCAGGTGCTGTCTTCATTTCCCCTTTCCTCCTTCATTGATGCTGATAGGGTCTCTGAGCTTCTTTTCTCTTGCTATGCTTTTCCCACACCAACTGGCTTAGCTGCAGGGCACACAGACCTTGCAGCAGCACTGGGCTTTTGTCCCCTGGGCGCTGAGCTCCCCTGCCCTCAGGAAGGCCCTGCAGCAGGCAGCAGGCCAGGCTGCCAGCAGCTCCTCCCTCAAGCTGCCCGCAGCCCCAAAAGGGGCATGTGCCCGTAGTTGGCAGGATTCGAACCTGCGCGGGGAAACCCCAATGGATTTCTAGTCCATCGCCTTCACCACTCGGCCACAACTACCTGCTCTGGCCCTGCCCTGGGCCCTGCTCATCACATACCCTCTGCCACCACACACACACCCAGCCACTTTGCGACAAGGCTCCTCTTAACAACCACTGCTTGCCATTGCTTAAAAAATCACCGCCAACTGTTGTGGTGCCAAGGGGACCACCAAAACACGCAGTTCATATTCAAGGAAAGCACAACAAAGTTCCTTGGCAAGATTCACTCTCCTACTTACACCACAGTTAAGGCGCAACAAGATTAAACACGCAACGACAAAACCAAACTAAATCCAAGCAATCAAAACTGAAATTAACCGAGAACTGCCTTGCAGAGTGTCTGGCTGTCCCTGTGTATGTGTACGTGTACGTGTGCCTGTGGAAAATGAGCGCAAGTATAAAAAGGCCTTTTAGCAGCCTGAAAGCTTGTCAGCATTCAAACTCAACTGCGTTTTAACTTAGCTTGTACCTTGTCGCCCTGATTTTGTAAGACTATGTTAAGCTTTCTGATGTTTACATTCTTTCAACTAACTTTCTCACAGTTCTGTAAATAACTTATGTTTTGCATTCTTTCATGGAGGTGGAGAGAATTGTGGACCTTTGGTCCGTGCAGTGGCATTGGAGAGGTGGCACTGTCACCCTCCAATCCACTGTCACCTTTGGAAAACTATAAATGTTGGAGTTAGAAAATAAAGTTTTTTCTTTTTTGTTCCCCTCAAGAGCAGCAGTGTCTGTGTCATCATTTCGTACCTTATCACAACAGTACCTTACACCTAATTAATATCTTACCCTTAAAATTTGACAGAGGAAAAACACTTAATAGCATTTTACCTAACTTACAACTTCAAAGTAATACTTAGCAACTTAGCAAAAGAACAACACTAAGCAGCATTTAGGTAAGCCTATATCTGCAACTTAACCTTACTGACAGGCCTCACGTACTGAGATCTCCAATGTACTTAAACATCTAAGGAAGCAATGTTTCTCCCAGATTTGCTAGAGCAAATATATGCACACCTGCATGCGCACAGACATGAAGAGTCGGTACAAGCAATGTACCTGTGAAAAATTCCCCTCAGTGGCCAACGAAACGCTCTCTTTGGATGCCTTTGCATCTCCCAAAGGGGGAAGGGTCAGGCCTCAAGGAGTGAGGGTATCAGCCCGAGACTCATTGTTGTTGGACAATCCTCCAAGTAGAGCAACCCTGAGAGTTCACTGGCTGTGAGAGCTGTCCCACTCAGAGGGACATTGCTGGTCACAGCCTGCTGCAGTGCAGGAGAGCTCAAATGGTCTCATTTTGGACCACTCTTTATAGGGTTGTAAGAGAGTGGCCTTTAGTCATAACAAGGTTTCATCCTGGCCACAGTTTGTGTTGGCACTTTGAATGTGTGACAATGGGAATGTTGTGGCATTCAGAAAACAAAAATGTTTTCCGAGACCGTTTATTTTCGAGGGGTATTTTCCATAGGTATAGCTACACACCTAAATACAGTGTGTGTGTGTGTGTCTGTGTGTGTCTGTGTGCAAGTGAGAGAGAGAATTGATAATGGTATGAATGTTGTCACTGTGAATTTGAAATTAAGTCCTTGCTGCGACTGTGGAGCCAGTGCTGCCAAACCCTTTTGCACCCTTTTACTTTTGTATCCGAATCCTTTGCATACCATACACTTCTGAATGCACGGTCTCCCTATACAACATTAAACATTGATTTCAATTCAATATTCTATTAATGCTTCTTCCATTTAGTGAGTAACTTTTAGCGTGAACTTTGCTGACAAACTCTGCTGAAGCCACACTGCCTATGTCCAGGCATGAAAAGAAGTGCTTTTCTCCTTTCCAGCCCACAATCCTGCACTCACACCATTGACACATCCCAACACCACTAATAGAGGATAGAAGAGGGATTTTGCTATGCTTTTGTGAAGAAGCTTTGACAGGAATGAAAGGTTATTCAAAATATTAGTACAAACTCTCACAAGGAACAAATTGGCACCAGGCTCTGCAGGGCTGTGATCTCCAGGTTACAGACTCAAGCCCAGTGACGGAGGCTTTGGTGCTCTGGTGTAATTTCTGGGAGTTCTTAGTGCAGCTGCTGGTAAGCTCAGGGAAGCAGCCACTGCTCACCCTGGCAGAGCAGGTGGTAGGTGAGGGAGAAGGAGAACAAATGACCACGACTCTCCAGCAATGCTGCACAAAGGCTTTAATGAGAGGGAGCAAAAGCGGTGGCATAGAACAGAGAGCAAGGAACACATGTGGGGGGCCAGGGAGGGCGAGAGATGGGCCCATTTGCCAAGGCCAGCGGGGATGATGCGGCGGCCTCAGCAGATCTGCCCGCAGCGGGGGAAAGGCAGACACAGGCCTGAGCCCCCCAGGCCAAGGGAGCCCCCAGAAGAGATGGGAACCCCCGCGGTGCTGAGGGAGCTGCCCACAGCAGCTGACAGAGAGGATCCCACGGCTGTGCTCTGAGGGAAGGAGGTGAGGATGGGGCCCGGCATGGTCACCACCACCGGCGAAGGCTCGATGTACACCGTGGAGTCAGCGCAGCAGGCGATGCAGGGCTCAGTGCAGCTGCTTGCAAGGGGGGTTGGGCCACAGGAACCGCAGGGCTGTGGGGGACAGGGTCTGCAGCAAGACATCTCTCGGTGCAGGAGGCAAAGCTGCAACACAGAGCAGGGAGCACCAAGCAGCCTCAGCATCAGTCTGCCTCTCTGTCCCTCAGCTCTCCCCAGGGACACATTTGCTCTTCAAAACACACTCTGTGCCTACAGCTCCCACCACCCTCCTTGAGCCCTCCGAGTGGCACGGCACGGGAAGGCCGCCCCACTTCAGCAGTAGGAGCCAGCACAGTGGCTTTAAGGCCCCTGTGGAAGGACTGGTCACAGCCCATCTCCAGAACAGACGTGGCTGTATTAGACAATGTCCCGGGATGCACTGGCACATTTTGTCCCACCACGGCCCTGAAACAGACCCAGAGCCACACTGACCTGCTTTACTCAGCCTGCTCATCCCAGAGGCCAGGGACCTGGCTGGTGGCTTTGGGGGAAAGGCTGAGGGCAGGGAGCCCATGGCTGTTTTTTCTGGGTCTGGGATGGGGATTCCCATTCCATGCATTTTACATTTCAAAGGGACACTGGATCACTCTTCCAGAGCACCAGAGTGGGTGTCATCATGGTGTGGAAGAGCTGGGAAAATCCCTGAACTGCAGGCAAACCTGAGTCACCCAGTGTGGACTTCAGTGGACTGGGTGCCACAGACTCAGGCACTCAAGGGATAACAGAGCTCACATCCTCAATGTTCTGCTGCCATGAAGGATATTTCCCCACCTTGTATTCCCAGTGGTGGATCACCTGGTGCTTGTCTGCACTCTCCTGCATTTGCTGTCTCCCAAGGCATGGTCTTTTGGTGGCTGCTCAAGGGCTGCAGTGACCCAGAGTACCCCACATCAACCCCAGAAGGTCTGGATGGAGCTCTGGAGCTCTTGTGCTCCTATCAACTGCTCTGGGCACATCAAATAGCCCCAGTTCCTCAGCAGGCTCTGGGCCTTGTCCTGCTGACTTTTAAGCACTGACACAGCTTACAGAAGAGGTCACTATCCCTTGTAGAGCTCTTCCTGGCCTGATCCTTGTTGTACCCCAGGCAATCCTGGGATGTTCTTTCATGCAAGCTGTGTTTGCAGCCCGTGCCCTGTGACAGTTCAGCTCTAGGAAGTGCTTGGCTTCATTCTCTCCAGAACCGCCAGGAGATTTTGGAGGCAGCAGCTCCATGCTCCCCACCACGCATTGCTCATCAGTGCCGGCAGCCTCCATGTCATCTTGTACTGGTCCTCCCCATCGAGGACCTGGGTGGCTCATCTGTAGGAGCACTTTCCATCTCCTGGTGGCCTCCTGGGGTTGCCAGGCCATCCCTGGAAGTGCTGCCCAGGAGACAGGGACCTGTCTGACAGTGGCAGTGTTCAGAGGACAATGGGACAAGGCCCACATCTTCAGGAGGCAGCTGGGAAGTTTGTTCTTCTCTGAGTGGGAGCAGAGGACTTCCAGTGGTCTCTCCCAGCCTCCATTATCCTGGGATTTCCTGCACCCCCTGGGCCCTTGAGCAGCCACCAGAAGCCAATGTTGTTTGGAAAGCTGCAGCAGCACAGCATGACATGGATGTATTCTGAGATGGGAGATACACTGGAACGGGTTGTCCAGAGCAACTGTAAAATCTGTTTCAGGGGGCTGGAGCCAGAGGATTTTAAGGTCCATCCCATCACAAAGTGATTACAACAGTCATCGCAGGATTTTGGGTTGTACAAAGTGTGAGAACAATATTTGAGATGAAAGAGGCAGGGAGCTCATCAGCAGCAAGGCCTCATATGTGGCCACTCCCAGGAGTTTGGATGTTTCACAAACAAGGAATGTTTGTGGCCCCACAGGGCTCTGGGACCCGGCATAAAAGGCTGCGCTGCTCCAGGCTCTGCATCCTCATCTCTGGCCTCCCTCTCCTCCAGGAACGAGGTAAGCCTGAGTCCGCTCCATCCCTCCCTGTGGGCTGAACTGCTGCCATGGAGGCTGCCCGGCTTGATCCCGGGGCTGCCTCAGCTTGGCCCTGACACAGAACTGGTGGAGGGCCGTCAGCCTTTCCATGCTGGTGGCTGGCCACAGCTGGGAAGAGGGGGCTTTGTTCCAGCAGAAGGGGATCAGTGGGGCTCAGCCTCAGGGGGATGTGCCCAGCAGAATTTGCACTGGCCGTGGTGGGACAAAATGTGCCAGTGCATCCCGGGACATTGTCTAACACTGCCACGTCTGTTCTGGAGATCGGCTGTGACCAGTCCTCCCACAGGGGCGTTAAAGCCACTGTGCTGGCTCCTACTGCTGAAGTGGGGCGGCCTTCCCGTGCCGTGCCACTCGGAGGGCTCGAGGAGGGTGGTGGGAGCTGTAGGCACAGAGTGTGTTTTGAAGAGCAAATGTGTCCCTGGGGAGAGCTGCACTGGATTCAGAGTCCAGAGTGCTCACCATTACACCATGGGACCTCCTGCACAGCTCACCTCTGGCCCCTCTGCTCAGCCTGCCTCAGCCTTATGGCCCCAGACCAGGCTGCCTGTCTCTCCACTGCCTTGCACATCTGTCACAAGTGCACCCTTCCTGCACTTGTGGGCCTCCAGGCACTCTCTAATCACACCATCCTTCAGGGCAGCAGCACAGCTCCTCCTGCAAGCCTGCCATGGCCTCTCTTACAAGGGACAGGCTTCCAATCAGCAAAAATCTTGTCTTTCCCAAATTGAAACAAGCCCTTTCTGACTCTCAGGCTAAGTTTCCTCGGGAATTTGCTTTACACAGCAGAATCCCCCTTGCCTTCTTTTCTCCAGCCCAAGCCAGTCCAGCTCCTTAAGGACTATTGACAGGGAAACATTGCTCCATCTCTACAAAAGGTGAACAAAGACCCTCGGGTGAACCCAGGCAAGAGGCTGGAGTGGCAAGAAAAAGGAGAGGTGACACACACCTTGCAGTCAGCTTTTGCCAAGGCCAACCTGTGTTAAAGCCAGTGTGTGCCTCCTGGGCTGGGAGGTGCCCGGAGTCCTTGGCTGGATCCCGGCTGAGGGGAGCAGGAGCAGCAGCTCAGGTGCTGTGTGGGAGAAGAACTTGTGGAGGGAAGGGGTCGTGCTCTTGTGGACCAGGAGAGGCAAAGCAGTGTGGAACCAGGCTGAAGGAAAGCCAGTTTGTCTTGGCCAGGAATGGCTGAGCCCTAGCAGAGAATGGTTTCTATCCATGAACCTCTGTGTTATGGGTCTAGCAGGTTCCCACTGCACCGCTTTGCTCCTACCAGGGTTTAAATGTGACCGCCCCCAGCCCAGTCTGACACTGCTGGCCCTCACTCTCTCCCTCTCTGTTCAGCCCTAGACACACTTTTGTTGTTCCTAGACACGTTAAGCTTTCTGAATAAATGGTCTACAAGATTTTAGACCCTTGCCAGTGCTACCTGCTTCTGTTCAAAACCCCTGATGTGTATAATTTTTAAAGTATTTTATATGGTAAACAGGAAAAAACATGAAGAGTCAGTCCTGCAAACATCTATCCAGGGACCAGATCCTTCTGGTGGTGGTCTGAGGGCATGCTGGTGCAGTGTCAAAAGCCTTTGTGTGGAATTATGTTCCTGTTTACAAAATGCAGTGACAGTCTGCTCTAAATTGTCAGTCCCAACAGCTGTTGATATGGCTCCCATTTATGCCTTTGAAATTTGGACCAAAGATTTTGCAATGATGTTCAGAATATAGAGCATTGCAATATGATACCAATTATGTACCCAAATATGGCAAGAAATAGTACAACAAAACTTGTCTTATTGACCTTTTTTCCCCGCTTTTTTTCCAGTTTATTCTAGAAATTGAAGGTCTATTCTGAAAGACATGTGCTTGTCTGCTGCTCATCTGAAGCACTTCCCTCGATGGCATAGAAAATCAGTTTAAAACACAAGCAAAAAACTAAGTGATATCAATTCAAGACTAAAGTATTCAACACTGAATCAACTCCTGCCAAGTCGAGTTTTCTATCCTGGAAAGACAAGTCAAACAAGTAGAAGAAAACTCTTGTACCAGTGCATCACAACTGGGAAACGTCACAGAGAAAACACTCATGTTCTCGTATTGTGAAAGGTTTGACTTGCATCCACCTCCCTGGCTGTGCCCCAGGCAGGTCTGATGCTGCTACTGCTCTGCCCTGAGTTCTGGCTTTCTCATTTGTGTGAATTCTCTCATTTGTGTAAATTCTCTCATTCCTGTGGATACAAATGTCTGGTGGCCTGGCTTTGCTGGCTGACAGGTTCTCACCCAGTGCTATCTCACTCAGCTCCTCAGGAGGACAGGACAGGGGGAGAAAATGAGATGAAAACTCTCATAGCTCAATGTAAAATGCAGGGAGACATTGACTGATTACCATGTGGGCAAACCAGACTGATTTGGGGAAAAATTAACTTACTTCCTTGCCAATCAAAATAGATTGGACAGTGAGGAATAAAGACATAATTAAAACACCTTCCCCCAACCCTCCTTATTCTTCCCAGGCTCAACTTCACTCCTTCAGTCCCAAATCCTCCACCTCCTCAATGAGCAATTGGGAAATTTTTACATAATTTGTTTTTCTTGATTTTGTTTTACTTTGAGTTGTTGTTTTGTTTTCTTCCCCTCCCCCCCCAACTCTTTTTCCTGATTAAAATATCTCCACTCAATTTTTTTTTTTTTTTGCGTTTTTACCCTTCCAATTGTTTCCCCCATCCTGTGAGAAGGGATGATTTTACTGAAGCCAGGGTTTCGTAAAAGGAACTCATGAAAATCTAATACTGCAGTGTGGTGTTTTGCATTAGGATACCTAGCTAACAGTTACTCAGACAGTGATGGGAAGAACAATGTACAATTTTAAATGTTTACTGTAGGGCTGAAAAATGAGATTGTTTGGACACCAGAAAACACAGAGAGCACAGAGAGAGTTTCTATCACTCTCAAGATGCAACAATACATGTAACAATGGTAGGTCACAGCATGAAAACAAAGTTTGAAACTGCTTTTTGTCAGAGGCTTCCTATGACATTTGGTGGTTCACATCAGAGAATGCTTGAACGTGGGCAAGAAGGAATGACATGTCAAAAACGTCGCGCTTGGAGGGGTCCTCCTTGGGGAGTGCGGTCCCTCATCCTTCAGCAGCAATGACCATGACCACTTTGTAGAAGCCGTCCAGACCCGTCTTCTGCACCCGAAGGGTAAAACGCCGGAAAGCCACTTCCCCTCGCCGCGGGGCTGCGCGCAGGGATGCGCAGCCCGCAGAACAGGCTGGAAGCGCGGCTGCCCCGATCTCGGAACCAAGTCCCGTCAGCGCGGTGTATGTGACTGCGCGCCAGGCAGCGGCTCGGCCAGCGCTGCCCCCTGCGCCCCACACTCACAGCGGCTGCCGTGGGTTTACTGCCAGCTGCGGCGAAGCAGCTTCGGCGGCAGGGCAGGGGCAAGTGCCGTGCCTGTGCCGCCGCCGCCGCCGCCGCCTCCCCCGTCCTTCCGCTCCGCAGCCTCGCTATTCCATATTTCTTTGCCTTTATAGGAAAAGTATGCGCAGGTCCGGGGGGGCTGCCCTGAGTCACCGAGGGCTGCGGTGCCCGCCCACGCCCCAGGGGCCGGGGCCGCCGCCGGGGCGGGGTCAGCCTGGCCGCCGGGGCCGCCGCGCCGCGTGTCCCGCCCCGCAGCCCCTCGGCCACAGCCCCTCGGCCACGGCGCGGGGTTCGCCGCCATGACGGGCAGGTGAGGCCGGGCACACGGGAGCCGGGAGGGGGTCTGGGCCGTGCCCGCCTTCACCGCCCTGGGCCGGCCGTGACGTGTCGGGAACTGCTCCTTCTGGCCCCGGGTAACGCCATGGGGGCCTGCGGGAAGGGTCGGGGGAGAAGGCTTTGCTGCTGTGAGGCCTGGGCGGAGCGGGGCACGCTCCGGCCCGGCGTGCGAGCGCGGAGTTGCCGCGCTGTGCCTGAGCCCTGCGCGGGGGCACAGCGGAGGGCAGGGCGGAGGCAGAGCTGGGCGGGCAGCTGTAGCTGTGAGCTGTGCTTGCTCACGGCCGGGCTCTCTGGCCGCACGGCATGACCCAGGCTGGCAGCCTGCCCTCGGTGTGCCCGCACCGCTGCCCTTCTCGCTGAAATACACGCAGCCCCTTTGCCCACAGAGTCACTGTCCTCTTCTTCGAGCTGGCCTTGGAATTCACATGTTCCGGGAGCTGTTTAAATCTGGAGCTTGATTCTCCTCTCTTGCTATCTGACATTGGAGAACGCTGCAAAGCGATTTAATTGACAGCTGTAAATGAGAAGAGGAGCGGGGCAGTTTGTGAGGGTTTGCATAAGTGCTGTAATGTCACTTTTTTGTCCCATCTGTAAAATAAAACCCAGACGTTATAAGCAGTTTATGGAAATAAGCTTGCTTTTGTGAAATGTTTTGGAGATGAGTAGCATGAAGACGTAATACTACAATTAGCTAGGTGCCCTTTTTAGGACACTCGTCCTTGTGAGTCCTCCTATGTTACTGTAGTTCTGAAGGATTGTTCTTTGTGATTAGGAATACTGAGACGGATTCAGAGCACTTTGTGTATAAATATTCACTTTCCTTTTGTGTCAAGTCTTGATGTTTGTATTATGTAGCTTTTTCTGATCAAAGTGGATCCTGATTAGTGGCTTGTTGTGTGTGAGAACCTGCTGAATAACTGTGTATGCTCATCTGTGATTTGGGAATGTATTAATTTTGGTCTCTGTGATGACAAATTTATGCTCTTGGGTGATTATACATGCTCAAAACTCTTTTGGGTTTTGCCTCATATCTTTAATGGTCCCTTTTTTATTCTTCTTACGTGTGAAACAGGTGTGTATTTACAAGTTGACATTCATTTTCTTACAGCTAGGGGAGGACTCAGGAGCCTTAAGTGTTCACAGGTCATGGATACCCATCCAGCTCTTAAATGGAGAAAGGATGGGGAGGACTTGGAAAGAACTGTGATTGTATGAATGCAGCTGATTTTTTTTTCAGAACTGTGGCATGGTACTGTTTAGAATGACAGGCTTACCTCTGATGAAGGCACTCAGGAGGACACTGGGAAGTGGGCAGACAGTAATCTTTGACTTCTCTCCATGCTTCCTCTGAAACTTGCCTGTTAAAGTGTAACACTATTCATTGGAAGCTCTGATGCTGAGTGTGAGCCTGGGTGGACAACTCCAGGGTAGCTGAGACACTGCAAAGTGTGCAGTTCAAAGTGATGCAGGACTTCAGTTCCCTTTTCCATGGGTTTACTTCAGAGGGCTGTTAAAATGAGCAGGCCTTGGCTTTAGCTTGTAAAAAGTGAACGTGGGCGTTATTTAATGTTTTCAAAACTGTTTGCCCTGGGAATTTTGTCAGCGGTGAACATTTATTTCTAAAGTTCTGTCTGCTGTCATTCCCAGGACAGGACAATTTACAGAAGTTGTTTGTCACAGCTGGAAATAGTATAATCCATTTAGGGTCGTGGTTTCCTGCAAAGCTTTACCATGTCTGTGCAACGTTGCACTGCTCAGCACCTTGCCTGGCCGATGCCATTGACAAGCACCATGTTCAGTGTTGTTTTTCAGGCTGGGACAGATTCCTGTGGCATTGCAAAGAATTCAGCATTGAGAATGTTCTTCCTTAGATCCAGCTGCAGGTGACACTGCTGAGTGGTACCCAGATGTTGTTCCCTGTTTGTTGTCTGGGGGTTCTTCAAATCTGCTGACATTATGTAGTCAGATGTTCTCCAGCTTTTGGGACATGGGATTTTCAGGGTTCTGGGAAGAGATGAATTGCTTCACAGCTGAGCATCCCCACAATATCCATCAGTGGGAACCTTCCTGAGCCAGGAATGGGAATAAATGTCCCTTTGGTGTTGACACAGGGAATGATTGTATTGTTTTGCAGTGTTGTAAAGTGAAGAAGACTGGAAAACATGAAGTGCTGAAACAGTATTCTTTTTCACTTCACCTTTCTTAAAAAGTAGGAATATGAAAGGGCTCTCTTCTAGATACTCTGATTGCAGATGCATTATTATTATTATTAAAATACATGAAAAATAACTCAATTTTCATTGTGTTCTGTTTCATTTGGCTGCAGAGGCATCTCCTGAATTTAAAAAACTGCAGTGACTTGATGTATTGATTTTAAGCATTAGGGAAGAATATAAGTCCAGGAAAAATAAGTGCATATCTTTCTTTTTGTGTACTCAGAATAAAAAAAAATTACTAAAATTAGGTAACTATCTAGCAAATGAAATGCAAATCTTAAACATATCACTAGTTACATTTTTACAGTGTGAGGATTGTATTTTGCTAGAGAAAACTGATAACTAGATAATTGGATTTTAGAAATAGTATTTGTGACTGCCAGGTCTGGGCTGGGCTATTGGAGAAATAGAGGAGAAGAACCACCTCCCTGACCTGCTGGCCACACTCTTTAGTTTTATGAGGTTACATGTTGTTTTAACTGCATTTAAAAACTAATTCTGTATAAGATATAGTGTATTAGATGTAAGAACAGTATATTTCTAAGCAGTCTTTCTGTGATTTTCAGTGTTGATAAATACAGTTGATGTGATTTTTTGAGCATTTAGAAGTTAACTATGGTACTTCCTCACCAGTAAATAAGGGAGGACTGCTTCTAGAATTGTATTTGATGTATTTAGTCCATTTGTTCATTTTGACTTTTGCCTTTTTGAGGATGGTTGGAGTTTGGGGTGGGGTTGATTAATTTTGTCTGGTTAGCTGGATTTTGTTGTTTTATTTTTCTTTGTCTTTGTGATGAGCTTTCTCCTAAGAAAGAGGATCTGTTAATGACCAGCGAGCAAAACATTGTCAAATGCCCAAAGTAGAAACTAAACAAGAATGAAAGAGGGTTTCCTTTAAGACTTTGCTGCTGTGATGTTGATTACAAGACTCAAAGGTGAAATATGCCTGGGATGTTTTGTGTTGCCTTTAGAAATTCATCTAATACAAACCCAAGAAAAAATATTTCCCAAGTGCATGTTTCAGAGCATAATTATCTTCATAAGAAATTTTTGTTATCACTATACTTAGTCAAATTGGGATCTGGATACGCCTATGTACTTCCTGTAGTCAACAAAAGAAGAGCAGCTGCATTTACAGATATGCTTATTGATTGTTCCTAATCCAGTGAAGGTAAGAAATAACAGTATATTATTTTCAATTAGGCTAGTCAGTTAAATACTTTTTTAAATTCAGTAGCGAGCTGCTGCTGCTTTACATGAAGCAGTTGCAAGTAAAATGGGTTGAAAGAGGAGGGGGTATAAAGGACAGTATTACAAATGGTTCTTCGTGCTGAGTAGACAGTACCTGCATTAAATAAGAGTTGTTTTATCTCTCTGAGTTAGAAGCAGCAATTTCTGCTCTTCTGGGTTGATAATGTGGTTTTAATCTTAATCTTTCAATCTAAATTTGCTCTTTGTTGCTCTCTAGATAGGAAGGTCCCTAGTCTGTTCTGGGGCCGTAGAGGTCCTTCTCTGAGGAAGAACCTGAGAATGCCTGAGAGAAGTCTGGCTGCTTTCTTCTGTGCTTTGGCCCAGAAAGTAACCACCTATAAGAGTTTGACATCAATCCTGTCTCTTAAAAGCAACGTGTCAAGAAGGAAGGAAAAAACAAACCCTTGCATTTTCACTCTATGTGTAAGGTGGCCAGAGAGGAGTGAGTGAGTGAGCTTGTGTTGAGGAATGGGAAGACAGGATGTTTGGTGTTGAGATTTTGTTTTTTGGTTTGGTTTTGTTTTTGTTGTTGGTGTTTTTTTTTTTTTTTTTTTTTTTTTTTTTTTTTTTTATTTCCCTCAGATCCAGCTGCAGGTGACACTGCTGAGTGGTACCCAGATGTTGTTCCCTGTTTGTTGTCTGGGGGTTCTTCAAATCTGCTGACATTATGTAGTCAGATGTTCTCCAGCTTTTGGGACATGGGATTTTCAGGGTTCTGGGAAGAGATGAATTGCTTCACAGCTGAGCATCCCCACAATATCCATCAGTGGGAACCTTCCTGAGCCAGGAATGGGAATAAATGTCCCTTTGGTGTTGACACAGGGAATGATTGTATTGTTTTGCAGTGTTGTAAAGTGAAGAAGACTGGAAAACATGAAGTGCTGAAACAGTATTCTTTTTCACTTCACCTTTCTTAAAAAGTAGGAATATGAAAGGGCTCTCTTCTAGATACTCTGATTGCAGATGCATTATTATTATTATTAAAATACATGAAAAATAACTCAATTTTCATTGTGTTCTGTTTCATTTGGCTGCAGAGGCATCTCCTGAATTTAAAAAACTGCAGTGACTTGATGTATTGATTTTAAGCATTAGGGAAGAATATAAGTCCAGGAAAAATAAGTGCATATCTTTCTTTTTGTGTACTCAGAATAAAAAAAAATTACTAAAATTAGGTAACTATCTAGCAAATGAAATGCAAATCTTAAACATATCACTAGTTACATTTTTACAGTGTGAGGATTGTATTTTGCTAGAGAAAACTGATAACTAGATAATTGGATTTTAGAAATAGTATTTGTGACTGCCAGGTCTGGGCTGGGCTATTGGAGAAATAGAGGAGAAGAACCACCTCCCTGACCTGCTGGCCACACTCTTTAGTTTTATGAGGTTACATGTTGTTTTAACTGCATTTAAAAACTAATTCTGTATAAGATATAGTGTATTAGATGTAAGAACAGTATATTTCTAAGCAGTCTTTCTGTGATTTTCAGTGTTGATAAATACA